TCCACCTCCACCACATTTGTGAGCCTGTTGCGGATTTGTGTGTGTGTGTGTGTGTGTGTGTGTTGCAGAAAAAGAAACAGTTGCATTCAGAGGCATCTGATGTTTGGAAAATTTCTACGATTATTGCTGGAATCAGTATCAAGGCCTTGAATGAGTAAAGCTAGCTAGCTAACTAGCTAATCTATTTTGGCTCATCCATTAGCCACCTTGATGTATTACTGGGTCGCTGATTCATTGTTACATGTTCACTTTTACAATTTAATGGTGTATGAACTCACCACAGCCCGGCCTTGTAAGTGGTGAAATGTATAAAAACAAAAGTAGGTACAAAACTATGTTCTCCAGAATGACAAGCAGTCGGTGGTGCCTCATAAATTCACAAAATTCCCATGGTAAAATTTCCATGGAAACCGTCCATAAATTTACTGGAATAATTCTACCCCTAGCTGTGACATTTAGGTGGAATGGTCAGAATTTGCTTTAAACAGCTTGAATCCATGGACCCCATCTGTGTTGTGTCATAAGTTCCAGGTGGCAGTGGTGTAATAATGTGGAAAATCTTTTCTTGGTAAACACTGCCCTCCCCTCAATCCAATTCAGCAGCATTTACATACCACAGCCTACGTGGGTGTTGTTGCTGACCATGTGCATAACTTTATGGATGCAATTTACCCAGCTTCTAATGGCTACTTCCAGCAGGACAACATGCCATGACACAGAGCCCCAGTCATCAGATCTAGATCCAACAGAACACATTTCGGGTGGAATGGAAAGGGACATTTGTTCCATGAACATGCAGTCAATAAATCTGGAGAACTTACATGATGCAATCATGTCAACATGGACCAGAATGCCTAAAGAGTATTTAAGTTCCTTGTCGGGCTCATGCCATAGAGAATTTCCTTTTGGAGGAAGGAACTGTTATCCAGGTAATGGACAATAATGTCAGCTAACAAATTCATAGGGAAAGATCATATGATTTAAAATCTATTTTTTGCAGTCATTCCATATGTAATTTAACAAAGAACTAAAGAATCGTGGCCGTTTCTATTTCAGTTGAAATAACTAACAATGCAAATAATGATCAAACCTTACAATACGACTTCATCCATCCATCCATCCATCTTCTGTGACTGTCTTATTCAGGGTCGTGGGGTGTCCAGAGCCTGTCCCACAGGCTACGGGTGCAAGGTAGGGAACAACCCAGGATGGGGCGCCAACCCATCACAGGGCAGCAATACAACCTCAGTTATTTTTAGAGCACGAGATTTTTTTATATGACTACTGAAAATATATATTAAACTACGACTCTGACCAATACAGTCGTCCCTCGTTTATCGCGGTTAATCCGTTCCAGACTCTACCGCGTTAAATGAATTTCCGCAAAGTAGCATTCTTTATTATTCGGCTGCACATGGCATTAAAGGATTTGCGGGGGGTGCTCGAATACATAGGCCTACAGTCCATACGTACAGAAATTTAAATTTTTATTGTAATACAGAGCTGTATAATTGACTCAGACAACCGAGCGCGCGCTGTATCATTTTCACTATCAACTTTTTAATGAATAAATGTAGGCCTATTTGAAAAAACCGCGATAGAGTGAAGCCGCGAAAGTCGAAGCGGGAAATGGCGTGGGATGACTGTATACGGTAATATGATGGATAGTTGGAATATACATAAGTAGGCCAAGTGTAAAATAAATACAGAAAACAAATTCGTTCTTGGAAGACAAGTTAGCAAAACCGATCTTGCCAAGTCTTATACAAGTGTTTTTAATGCATATTTTAACTTTATTGTATCTCCAATCTCTATGTAAAGCGTCTTTGAGTACCTAGAAAAGCGCTCTATAAATAAAATGTATTATTATTATTATTATTTAAGACTACAAGTACAGTCTTTACGTTCTTTGTATTGCGATTCACCCAATATAAGCCTTAAATCGACACATGTTGTCGTAAAAAAAACTGTTGTAAACCGGAAGAGTATTGAATTGTGACCCGGATGTGGAGGCTCTTGATAGAAGGAGGGAAGTGTTATGATTTTACACAAATTTGTACTCTCCGGTGAGTGTTGATTACACACTGACTGGGTTGAGAGCAAGCAGATAAAGCTAGTGTTGCAGTTTGTTCCTGATCTGGTTACGTGAGTTTCCATCATGTCTGTCGTGCCACCCAACCGATCATCAACCGGTTGGCCGCGTGGAGTGAATCAATTCGGGAACAAATACATAAGCACCCCAACAAAACCGCTCACGCTGGAAAGGACCATTAACTTGTAAGTGAGATGTTACTTTATTTAATATAGTGATTATATGCCTCTGGTTTGTTATGTTCGGTTTCTTTGCCTGCCTCCTTCTCCTGAAGTCAGTCCGACATTATTTCGCAGAGGTTTTGGGGCGACCTGACGGTGTTTTGCTTTTCCCAGGTACCCCCTGACCAACTACACGTTCGGCACGAAGGAACCTCTCTATGAGAAAGACAGCTCGGTCGCGGCGCGTTTCCAGCGGATGCGGGAGGAGTTCGAGAAAATCGGCATGAGGAGGACAGTGGAGGGCGTCCTGATTGTGCATGAACACAGACTGCCGCACGTCCTGCTGCTGCAGCTGGGAACCACTTTCTTTAAGCTGTGAGTCGGTGTGGGACCGCGCTGAAATGCACTTTATTTGGCGCGACTTAGTTACTGTCTTTGTAAGATGGTTACTTCTTGGGAATTTTAGGACTATGCTTGGCCGCACTGTTGTGGAAATAGTATCTGAACGAAAATATGAATGGTCAAAATACATACAAACGGCAAAAACCGATTCTCAAAATACTGGTTAATGATAATGGTTAGTTTAAGGTGAAAGTTTCATGTATGTTTATGCCTGTGAAATTAATACTGAATTGTGCATAATTTTTGAAGGATGTTCAACAACTTATCTTCTGCATAAAAATGCTCTTGGTGGCATTCAGGCTTTTTTTTTTTGCCTGAAGTATGTGTTTTGCACTGCAGACCCGGTGGAGAGCTGAACCCCGGTGAAGATGAAGTGGAAGGGTTGAAGCGACTGATGACAGAGGTACTGACACTGCTTAGCTGTGATGGGAGGAGGATTTGGGTGTAACTTTGTGTTGTTGTTTCAGTGGGTACATTTCTCAGAGCACAGGTAAAATTGCCTCACAGGTGTTATCCCAGTGAATAAATCACAATCTGCAATGGCTCCCAGTTATTTACGTGGCTAGTTGCATGGATGATTTGAATCATGGCGCTTAGTGTCAGAATTGTCTGTCTCCAGATTCTGGGACGTCAGGATGGGGTGAAGCAGGACTGGGTTATTGACGACTGCATTGGGAATTGGTGGAGGCCGAACTTCGAACCCCCACAGGTAAATGCTGGGTAGCTCACAAAGCACATGACCGAATTCCCCCATTCTGCTTCTTTTCTAACAACCCAAATCTAGGATTTTGCCTAAATCTTGTAAGCTGCCTGTGTTTCCATCTGCTGGTTCTGAACAAAGTGGCTCAGTACAGTACTAACCTGCACCATGTCCGGCGGAGATAACAGAAGAAGATGGTCAGCGGTGGTGGCAATGTGTTTCCTGTAAATTACAGGAAAATGGATCCGTTTTAGGAAAGATTAATTCTCCTTGGTACCATTAAACTGTAGCTGTAGTTTTAGAACAAAATGAAGAATATTGGAGCAACAGTTTATTTTTCCAAACATATCACATGATGCCATGTGTAATGTGAAAGCTGCCATCTTTGTGATCTGAGGGTAGTTGTGATATTGCTTCTTGAAACCACTGATCTTGTTTGACCTTTGACCTTTGACCCCTGACCCCCCCCCCCTCAGTACCCTTACATTCCAGCTCACATCACCAAGCCCAAAGAGCATAAAAAGCTGTTCCTGGTCCAGCTGCAAGAGAAAGGTAAGCACCTCTGGTCCTTTTCCCATACCGTGTTGGCTGAACACGGGTGGGGTTGTGTACCTTAGTGCACGGTTATGTTTAGTGGTTAAATATGAAGATGATCATCATTCAGAAATAGTCATTGAATTTCATTTTGAAAGCACATTTGTGCCTTTTCAGTTTCATGCTGGCACTGGTAACACAGCTCTGACTGGTGATAGTCATTCCCATTTTTTACAGCTGTGCTTATGATTACCCATTTTCATTACACACTTATGGAAAATTGCTTGATCTTTATCTACATAAAATCTTTAAAATGAATCAATAAATCAAAACGAATGCAAAAATTTAAATGTCCACTTTGATATTTTTGGTAAGAAATACTTGTGTGTAAGCAGATGTTATGACTGTGGATGTGTTTCTGACTGTGTATGTGTGTACGTATATGTGTGTGTGCCTGTGTGTGCNCTGATTCATTGTTACATGTTCACTTTTACAATTTAATGGTGTATGAACTCACCACAGCCCGGCCTTGTAAGTGGTGAAATGTATAAAAACAAAAGTAGGTACAAAACTATGTTCTCCAGAATGACAAGCAGTCGGTGGTGCCTCATAAATTCACAAAATTCCCATGGTAAAATTTCCATGGAAACCGTCCATAAATTTACTGGAATAATTCTACCCCTAGCTGTGACATTTAGGTGGAATGGTCAGAATTTGCTTTAAACAGCTTGAATCCATGGACCCCATCTGTGTTGTGTCATAAGTTCCAGGTGGCAGTGGTGTAATAATGTGGAAAATCTTTTCTTGGTAAACACTGCCCTCCCCTCAATCCAATTCAGCAGCATTTACATACCACAGCCTACGTGGGTGTTGTTGCTGACCATGTGCATAACTTTATGGATGCAATTTACCCAGCTTCTAATGGCTACTTCCAGCAGGACAACATGCCATGACACAGAGCCCCAGTCATCAGATCTAGATCCAACAGAACACATTTCGGGTGGAATGGAAAGGGACATTTGTTCCATGAACATGCAGTCAATAAATCTGGAGAACTTACATGATGCAATCATGTCAACATGGACCAGAATGCCTAAAGAGTATTTAAGTTCCTTGTCGGGCTCATGCCATAGAGAATTTCCTTTTGGAGGAAGGAACTGTTATCCAGGTAATGGACAATAATGTCAGCTAACAAATTCATAGGGAAAGATCATATGATTTAAAATCTATTTTTTGCAGTCATTCCATATGTAATTTAACAAAGAACTAAAGAATCGTGGCCGTTTCTATTTCAGTTGAAATAACTAACAATGCAAATAATGATCAAACCTTACAATACGACTTCATCCATCCATCCATCCATCTTCTGTGACTGTCTTATTCAGGGTCGTGGGGTGTCCAGAGCCTGTCCCACAGGCTACGGGTGCAAGGTAGGGAACAACCCAGGATGGGGCGCCAACCCATCACAGGGCAGCAATACAACCTCAGTTATTTTTAGAGCACGAGATTTTTTTATATGACTACTGAAAATATATATTAAACTACGACTCTGACCAATACAGTCGTCCCTCGTTTATCGCGGTTAATCCGTTCCAGACTCTACCGCGTTAAATGAATTTCCGCAAAGTAGCATTCTTTATTATTCGGCTGCACATGGCATTAAAGGATTTGCGGGGGGTGCTCGAATACATAGGCCTACAGTCCATACGTACAGAAATTTAAATTTTTATTGTAATACAGAGCTGTATAATTGACTCAGACAACCGAGCGCGCGCTGTATCATTTTCACTATCAACTTTTTAATGAATAAATGTAGGCCTATTTGAAAAAACCGCGATAGAGTGAAGCCGCGAAAGTCGAAGCGGGAAATGGCGTGGGATGACTGTATACGGTAATATGATGGATAGTTGGAATATACATAAGTAGGCCAAGTGTAAAATAAATACAGAAAACAAATTCGTTCTTGGAAGACAAGTTAGCAAAACCGATCTTGCCAAGTCTTATACAAGTGTTTTTAATGCATATTTTAACTTTATTGTATCTCCAATCTCTATGTAAAGCGTCTTTGAGTACCTAGAAAAGCGCTCTATAAATAAAATGTATTATTAATTATTATTATTATTATTATTTAAGACTACAAGTACAGTCTTTACGTTCTTTGTATTGCGATTCACCCAATATAAGCCTTAAATCGACACATGTTGTCGTAAAAAAAACTGTTGTAAACCGGAAGAGTATTGAATTGTGACCCGGATGTGGAGGCTCTTGATAGAAGGAGGGAAGTGTTATGATTTTACACAAATTTGTACTCTCCGGTGAGTGTTGATTACACACTGACTGGGTTGAGAGCAAGCAGATAAAGCTAGTGTTGCAGTTTGTTCCTGATCTGGTTACGTGAGTTTCCATCATGTCTGTCGTGCCACCCAACCGATCATCAACCGGTTGGCCGCGTGGAGTGAATCAATTCGGGAACAAATACATAAGCACCCCAACAAAACCGCTCACGCTGGAAAGGACCATTAACTTGTAAGTGAGATGTTACTTTATTTAATATAGTGATTATATGCCTCTGGTTTGTTATGTTCGGTTTCTTTGCCTGCCTCCTTCTCCTGAAGTCAGTCCGACATTATTTCGCAGAGGTTTTGGGGCGACCTGACGGTGTTTTGCTTTTCCCAGGTACCCCCTGACCAACTACACGTTCGGCACGAAGGAACCTCTCTATGAGAAAGACAGCTCGGTCGCGGCGCGTTTCCAGCGGATGCGGGAGGAGTTCGAGAAAATCGGCATGAGGAGGACAGTGGAGGGCGTCCTGATTGTGCATGAACACAGACTGCCGCACGTCCTGCTGCTGCAGCTGGGAACCACTTTCTTTAAGCTGTGAGTCGGTGTGGGACCGCGCTGAAATGCACTTTATTTGGCGCGACTTAGTTACTGTCTTTGTAAGATGGTTACTTCTTGGGAATTTTAGGACTATGCTTGGCCGCACTGTTGTGGAAATAGTATCTGAACGAAAATATGAATGGTCAAAATACATACAAACGGCAAAAACCGATTCTCAAAATACTGGTTAATGATAATGGTTAGTTTAAGGTGAAAGTTTCATGTATGTTTATGCCTGTGAAATTAATACTGAATTGTGCATAATTTTTGAAGGATGTTCAACAACTTATCTTCTGCATAAAAATGCTCTTGGTGGCATTCAGGCTTTTTTTTTTTGCCTGAAGTATGTGTTTTGCACTGCAGACCCGGTGGAGAGCTGAACCCCGGTGAAGATGAAGTGGAAGGGTTGAAGCGACTGATGACAGAGGTACTGACACTGCTTAGCTGTGACGGGAGGAGGATTTGGGTGTAACTTTGTGTTGTTGTTTCAGTGGGTACATTTCTCAGAGCACAGGTAAAATTGCCTCACAGGTGTTATCCCAGTGAATAAATCACAATCTGCAATGGCTCCCAGTTATTTACGTGGCTAGTTGCATGGATGATTTGAATCATGGCGCTTAGTGTCAGAATTGTCTGTCTCCAGATTCTGGGACGTCAGGATGGGGTGAAGCAGGACTGGGTTATTGACGACTGCATTGGGAATTGGTGGAGGCCGAACTTCGAACCCCCACAGGTAAATGCTGGGCAGCTCACAAAGCACATGACCGAATTCCCCCATTCTGCTTCTTTTCTAACAACCCAAATCTAGGATTTTGCCTAAATCTTGTAAGCTGCCTGTGTTTCCATCTGCTGGTTCTGAACAAAGTGGCTCAGTACAGTACTAACCTGCACCATGTCCGGCGGAGATAACAGAAGAAGATGGTCAGCGGTGGTGGCAATGTGTTTCCTGTAAATTACAGGAAAATGGATCCGTTTTAGGAAAGATTAATTCTCCTTGGTACCATTAAACTGTAGCTGTAGTTTTAGAACAAAATGAAGAATATTGGAGCAACAGTTTATTTTTCCAAACATATCACATGATGCCATGTGTAATGTGAAAGCTGCCATCTTTGTGATCTGAGGGTAGTTGTGATATTGCTTCTTGAAACCACTGATCTTGTTTGACCTTTGACCTTTGACCCCTGACCCCCCCCCCCTCAGTACCCTTACATTCCAGCTCACATCACCAAGCCCAAAGAGCATAAAAAGCTGTTCCTGGTCCAGCTGCAAGAGAAAGGTAAGCACCTCTGGTCCTTTTCCCATACCGTGTTGGCTGAACACGGGTGGGGTTGTGTACCTTAGTGCACGGTTATGTTTAGTGGTTAAATATGAAGATGATCATCATTCAGAAATATTCATTGAATTTCATTTTGAAAGCACATTTGTGCCTTTTCAGTTTCATGCTGGCACTGGTAACACAGCTCTGACTGGTGATAGTCATTCCCATTTTTTACAGCTGTGCTTATGATTACCCATTTTCATTACACACTTATGGAAAATTGCTTGATCTTTATCTACATAAAATCTTTAAAATGAATCAATAAATCAAAACGAATGCAAAAATTAAAATGTCCACTTTGATATTTTTGGTAAGAAATACTTGTGTGTAAGCAGATGTTATGACTGTGGATGTGTTTCTGACTGTGTATGTGTGTACGTATATGTGTGTGTGCCTGTGTGTGCCTGTGTGTGCCTGTGTGTGCCTGTGTGTGCCTGTGTGTGCCTGTGTGTGCCTGTGTGTGCCTGTGTGTGCATGCTGCAGCCCTCTTTGCAGTTCCTAAGAACTACAAGCTGGTGGCGGCTCCCCTGTTCGAGCTGTATGACAACGCCCCCGGCTATGGACCAATCATATCCAGTCTCCCACAGCTACTGAGCAGGTGAGACATGTTCAGTTTTTGTATTTGCTTCTTTTCAAAATGTGGAACAGGAAGGCAGCCAAGAGTTCCTGGTTAAGCGGGTGGCTGGCGGCCCTATGCTCAGTTCAAAATTCAGCAGAACAAAGGGTGTTTAACCTTAAGTTCTTAGTATAACCTATAATATAGTATAAAGCCATTAAAAATGTAAAGCCCATAAGTTTCTGAATGTCATCCAAACAACTATATGCAAGCATAATAATGTGGCAATGAGATATGTGTGCAGTTGTAGTGAAAATGTATTTGGCATTTGTAGGTTCAACTTTATTTACAACTGAGTGGTGTGAACAGTGGTGCCGTCATCGTACATCATGCATGGACTTTGTGAACTTACAGCGGGCAGCCAAGTAAAACTGCAGAAACAAGATGTCTTTGTCAAGATGTTCGCTACCGGTGAATTTGATTTGGAAAATGTGATTTACATGTACTGAATTACAAATGTATGCTTTTTGTTTTAATTTTTTTTTCTTTTAAGTACTGTGTTTGTCTTTATTTTCGTTTTGGAGAGTACAGTTGTTTAGTAAATAAAAATGTCCTGTTGTGTTTTTATTTGTAAACTTCAATTTTTAAAAATAATAAATGTCTTTTGGTAAAGACATCTTATGTTTGTGTGAAAAGTTTGTAAACATTGATCTGAATTTGTGGGCAAATGTTTACGAGAGCAGTTTAGAATAATGAATAAACATTATTTTCCTTATTTGACTAGTGGTTAAAAAAACAAGGGGCCGTTTTACGTGCGTTCAAATAAATATACAAGGGAATTACTTGTATGAGTAAAATCGTCGTGCAAAAATGTTTATTTTCAGAGGTTTTTTAAACCATAATTTTAATCATGTATGCGATTAATGTTCAACTTAACGCCGATTTTCTCAACGTAAAATGTTACACATAAGCCTGTTGGTATACACGCTATTTCAGGCGACGCCATAAAGGATTGTGGGACACGTAGTTTTTTTTTTTTTTTTTTTTTAATGTTGATTACGCAAAATTTCCGCGACTTGAGCTTGTTTAGCACGTTGTTCATCGTATGTTATGACTTCGAAACGCAAGAAAAGTGATGGAACAGCTGCAGGAGGGAAGAAAAAAGAGAAAAGAGAGGAGAACGCGGAAATCTCGGGAATAATCCAGGATGCAGATATAAAAGAAAAAGTGAAGGAAGCCTGGCACAGGAGGAAACCCTTCTCACATGGTCAGTTTATTAGCTGGCTAGCTTCAGAACTGCCAAAAAAGCCCGTAGTAAAAATTCGTCTGTAATACTGACATTGATAACCGATAAAGACCAACGTTAAGCGTTGAAGTATGTCAATATAAAAATTACTAAAATCGATTAAAAGAAACGGCTAGCCTCTCACTGGTGGTTCACAAGCAGCATGACGGTTGCCTTACAGGCGGCTTGGTGCTGGACTGTCAACCCTTCCCGCACTGCGTGCTGAATAACTTCATTCAGAACGAGGGTTTCCTGGAGAATCTACAGAAGGAGCTTCTGGCTTTAAATTTTCATGAGAAATCCAACGACCTGTACAAATTCAAACAGGTAAACGGGGAAACTGCGTTACACAGCAGCCTGACTAAGAATATTATAACAAAGTATATAATAATAAAGTCTATAATACACTTTACTGCTTTTTCATTGTCGGAGGGTGGTTCATTTAAGGCTGATAGTGATAGTGTTGTTAGTGTTTTGAACACTTTCTTGGCAGTCGGATGACCTGAAGCAGAGGAAGGGTGCGCACATACCTGGGTTAAGGTACGTGTACCTTCAAATGATGTGTGCATGACTGTTTTGGTAACAGTGTTATATGCTTGTCATTCCACATTCAGGGAAGGAAGGGGGGTGTGTTGTGCTCCCAATATCTTTGTAGGAGGATGAAAGTCCAAGTCTTTAGAGTCCTGGTGCTCCCTGTTTTGCTGTATGGCCTGAGCCAAAGACTGTGCTCATTTGATACTGTGTTTTTTTGGAGAGTCCTTGGGTCCTTGGCCAATTCCGGAGAGTGGGACTGGATCCCATGTTGGCCTGGGGGGGTCACCAACTGGGATCCCAAGATGTTTCGCTGTACAGTGGGTGTGGCAGCGCACTGTACCAATGCACACTTCCCGACCTGACCTGACCTTCTGTATTAACAATTCAGTTTAGACCAGCTATTGTGTTTTAATGTCCGCATTGCTACAGCAAGACATGATCACTGGAGAAAAGCGCAGACAATGTATATCCATGTTAAAATATATAGTATCTCTGTAGCCAGATTATTGATATGTCAAGTTAGGCCATGTGATCGTTGTATCACAGGGGAAACTCTTGCCCTTATGCAGAACTGTGATCTTTGACCAGTTTCGCCACTGGCTCAGCGATGTGCTGGACACAGAGCTGGAGCCTGTGGTGGACGTTTCCTGTGCCAAGTATGAGTACACAGGTGAGTGGTTCCTCACGATACGCAGAACCTTCCCCTTGCTGTGAATTCACGAGGATACATTGTTTTCCACAGCATCACCTTTTACTCTGACGTTACGTCTGAGAGATGGTGTCTTCTAAAAACAGACACTGTGTACTTTCTTCAGTACTGATTCCTGTGCTATACTGAATTATATACATGCTATATACAGCTTTTCATGTATTATTTGTTGCTATTTTCCTTAATATCTAAACATAGAATATTTCCTGTCCCAGGTGAGCCCGTTTTTCATTCACATATTAACATTCCTTCAATGTCCCTATTGTAAGTGATTCCACCAAATCACTTAACGTGCTTGGCTTCAGTAGAATAAAATTTGTATAAGAATTGTTCCTTAAACAAATTGCCCGTCAAACTAATCATTTAATGTGAAGTGGAACTTTTATAGTTGATCTGGAACGTGATGGATAGGGGTTCCTGTAATGCAGTCAGTTCCCCCTTCATGTAGCTGTTGGGTTGTATCAACCACTTTCGTAAACCTACAGATGTGCTGCTGTGTCACGATGACGAACTAGAGGGCAGGAGGGTGGCTTTCATCTTCTACCTCGTCCCCCCCTGGGAGGCTAGTGATGGGGGGACTCTGGACCTTTACAGTGTGGATGGTCAGTACCATAAAGACACTCTTCTATATTCAGTCTCGCTGGTGTCACCCATCACAGGATGGATGGCGGTCTGTCTCGCTAGCAGGGGCCGATCTTCTCGTCTCTGGTTGTTTTTAGAGAACTGCCAGCCCAAGGACGTTGTGAAGTCTTTGGTCCCCCAGTGGAACACACTGATTTTCTTTGAGGTCTCTCCTGTCTCTTTTCACCAGGTAGGGGTATACTGCTCTTCACCTGACAATAAACACAGACCCAATTTGAGGTGAAAACGTTGCATTTTCATGGAAGATCTAAAATCCTTCAAATGAGACACCTATCCAGACTGTCGTGAGACAAACCCGAAACTAACAGATGTGGAAAAGTCTTTTGAAAGAAGGTTTATTTTGTGTAGACCACAATATTTGACTGTGACCTAAGTTAAAACACGGGCAGCCGCAGTAGGTGTGCTCTCTCTGCGGTTGTGCTTTCTCTGCGGGTGACTAACCTGTGCTTTTGCTCTTCTGCCACACAGGTGGCCGAGGTAATCTCAGAAGACAAGTGTCGCCTGTCGATGAGCGGCTGGTTTCACGGCACACCTTTGGAGCGACCTCCCCGTTATGTGGAGCCGGCCATCCCCCGGAACCCGCACCTCCCTCGCGATGTAAGTGGAGGCTGCTGGATGGGCTGCCCTTCCCTGGTTCCATCTCCAGGCCTGTTTACCTCAGAGCAAGGGTCTCAAAGTGTCCTATTCAAACTGGGCTGTGACTTTTTTTTATCATTATAAAATCTGGCACACCGAGATGAAAAACAATGTAACGTCATTCCGCTAATGAATGCCGGTGAGGCTACTTTTTTGCAGCTGGGAGGGAGCAAAATCATGGACTGTCTGGGGATTCCTGAGGACCGGGTTGAGAATCATTTGTCTAAATCAGTGTCTCCCAATCCGGTTCTCAGGGACCCACAGTCGGTCCATGTTTTTGCTCCCTCTAAGTTCCCTGCTAAACTCTCTGTGGGTCCCCAAGGACCAGATTGAAAAACACTGGAATAAAGGATTTGAAGAGTTTCGTGATGATCAGAGACAATGTGTATAAATGAAGAGTAAAACAAGACGTGAAGAACTTTTTATGTCCACTCACAGTGCTTTTGGATCTGATCTTCTTCAGGAGGAGCTGCTGCTGGAATGGGTGAACCCTGTGTACCTGGACATGGCCTACCAGGCACAGATGCAGGAGGAGTTTGAGGAGAGCTCTGAGATCCTCCTCAAAAACTTCCTCAAGGTCAGTGGTGGGCCTGATGACGGTCATCGCTGCACCTTCACGGTAGCGGAGTTGGTCTCGGACTGGTCTCCTACACGGCTAATGGGAATTCTTTACAGGAAGACAAGTTTAAAGAAGTGAATGAAGCCCTGAAGAAGACTGAGATCCAGTGGACCAGAAGGGGCCCTCCCAATAAGAGGTGAACTCCACTCACCTTCCCACAATGCCTTTCGCAGTGTTCCCAGATAGATTCTGCCGTTTTGGGAGATTCCTATGTTCCAGAATAGCCTGTTAAGTAATCCGTTACTACATTATATGCGTCAGTCACAAAGAATCTTATTGGTCAAATTTTGTGTGGGATTTTCTGATTGGTGCATCGTCCTACGAATTGGGTTGCAGGAACTACGAACGGGCTGAGCTCCAGGCCCTTCCCCCGTGCGTGAGCACGTGCTGGGAGCTCCTGTCTTCCGAGGCCTTCTTCCTGTTACTATCCAACTTCACGGGCCTCAAACTGCACTTTCTGGCACCTGGGAGTGACGATGAGGAGGAGGAGGAGGAAGAGCAGGACTGTGCGGCAGGATCGACTAGGTCCCTCGAAGCAGCAGCACCGGAACAGCAGTGCAGCAAGCGAAATGAGAGGAAAAGCAAGGGTGAGCCACCACTGATGAGGACACCTCTGGTTTTCAGGCCCTGTCGGCTGTCCGTTGACCTTTGACCTCTGTGCTTTGTTGACCCAGAGCCTAGCACTCCAGTGTGCAGAGGGGAACTGCGCCGCTGGGGAACGGGGGACTACACCCTCATCCATGACACAGACCTGGATAACATGGAGTTCGCCCTGGACCTGCTGCTTTACTGTGGCTGCGAGAGTGAGCACTGCATTCTACCTCCAGGAACATTAAGAGGCAACCTTCAGGCTACCAGTAGCTGTCCTTAGCCACTGCACCCCCAGCTGTCATTAGTTAGGATAGCATATAATAGACATAGAGATTAGCTGTTTGCGGAGTTGCCCTGTTCAACTGGACCCATTTAGGTGGGACAGATAGTTTCATTTCAAGGGAACTGGCAGTAGTGACCTGATATTCACTGTCAGTAAAAAGGGTACCAGTTTGTACCTTTGCTTGTCACTGGGGCTGTACCCTTAGGGATGCCAGTTGTACCCTTAGCTGTAGGTAACTGTACCTATTAAGATACAGAAATTGACTATGAGGAGCATTTTTGTACTATTGATGGTACATTAATGTTTCAACCTTGGGGATGTTCCTCAGAGTGCATTTCTGTACCTTAAAAGGTATTATTACCTACAGTTAATGGAACAATTGGCGGACCCTTGATGGTACAGCCCCAGTGTCAAGCAATGGTACAAATTGGTACCGTTTCTTTTTTTTGTGATATTGCTGATACCACTGACTTCTCGGAAACTGAGTTTGGGGAATGAGTAATTTGGAGACAGATGAGGGAAAGTTCAGCTGATGAATGAAGGTGGATTAAAGGAGCAGATTTAAGTGAAGTAGCTTACAGATGGAAACTTCTTCCGGCGTGTTGTTGCAGATTGGCAGTCTGACCTTGGAGGATTCACGTCGTACATCGCCAGCGGAGAAGATGAGGAGGTGAGGTCTGAATCCCTGCTACAGGGACAGGTATTATCAGAGAGCAAGGTGCCCCAATGTGCTTTTTCTTGCTGTCTGCTGTGGGTTTTAGCTCCTCACGGTGTCCCCAGAGGACAACGCCCTTGGGTTGGTCTACAGGGACAAGGAGACGCTCAGGTTCATCAAGCATGTGAATCACAGGAGTTCCCAGTCCCTGGAGGACGGCCCTGTCCGGAGACATTTCTACGATTTCTCTTTTGTCTATTATGAATAAATGGACCCTCTCTGTCAGGAAGATCTCCCCTTTGAGGACAATGGTCATGTGGTTTACTGTAGAGGAGGTCAAACAGGATGGAGCTGGTCAAAGCTGTATTTTTTGAATTACTGCCCAGTAAACCCACATGTGGCTACATGGTGTTGCAGAAGCTTGTCTTTATTATTGACTCATGTGCCATCGGTCTGAATGACCCTACAGTGTCCCTACAGGATGTAGTGGTACCGTAATGAATGAGGGCATGACGTAAGTTTGCAAATTACAAATGTGCCGTTTCAAAATCATCAGGCCTGAACAAGTTAGTTTTTTTCCCCATTTATTCATTTGTTCATTTATTACCAGTGAAGATAAACACAACTTTGGTATGTAACTGGCGATCCCGTAAAGCATTCTTCTTTTTTTGAAACCGTAAAAAGTATTATTTTACAGTATCAGCATTCCTAGTGCAATTATTCTCATTGCCACATTTCCTTTGTGTGTACAGTCCAGTGAAGCAATTACTTCATTCTATACATTCCAGTGGTCATTCTCATATTGCATCAGAGTAAGAACTCAAATGTACTGCATTGCACAATGTTCCATTTTTAAATCAATAACACAAACTAAGAAATACTGGGTGTGACGTGAGTGAAAGCTATGAATGAAGCGCTATTTTCTGGGATTTTTTTTATTTGTTTGTAGTCATAAAATGACAAAGTGAACAATTTACAGGTCTCCAAACAGTGAGATCTTAGTATTATAGTACAGCAGAAACTCTGCTTGACACCGTACATTGTTACTTTTATAAAAAATGTAAGCTATACAAATGTGTGCATATGTATGTGTGTGCATATGTATGTGTGTGTGTATATGTATGTGTGTGCATATGTGTGTGTGCATATGTATGTGTGTGTGTATATGTATGTGTGTGCATATGTGTGTGTGCATATGTATGTGTGTGTGTATATGTATGTGTGTGCATATGTAATACACTCATACATATTCAGCAGCAAACCATTTCTAACATAAATATGACTACCCTGTAGTAGAATATGTGCAACGTCGGCTGAATTCCTCTCATTGCAACCATTTCTCAGTCTGACAATGGTCACAATTCAGTGTAACATCTCAGAATAAAAAACTCCTTCTCCTCGCTAGGTTGCTACAAATAAGTCTGAATACATCAACCCTTGGTCTTGCATTCCAAAACAACTCCACCCTCCCGAAGATCAGTAACCATGACAAAAGAGCCTGTGTTTGTCATAGGGTGTATTCAGGGTTCTGGAATGGTAGACTGTAAGAGGTGAGATTAGTCTGGTGGCCATGACTAAAATAAGGAGAAATCAACAATAGCAACAATGCTCACAGAGGTGGATAGTTCAGATCCAAAAAGTAAAAATCCAGACCAAGGTTTTGTTTCAACCCACCAGTCACAGTCACAGTCACAGTCACAGAGTACTCAATTGGTTGAAACAAAGTCTTGGTCTGAATTTTTACTTTCTAAACCGGAACTATCCACCTCTGAATGCTCATTTGAGAAGAGATTTCCTCTCCAGTCAGATTTCTGAGGCCACGTTTTGTACTCTCACAGTTCGCCTCACCTGGTCCAGGCTGTACCGAGGTGCACAAACATGTATCATCTTTACTGAGATGGAAGATAGGGAGTGATGGGCTCTTTTCTACCTGATGTCTACTTTCTGACAGCTGGTCAGAGAAATTTCTTAGTGCAGTGTTTCCCAATCCTGTTTCAGAAGGGAGCTGGGAGGAAGCAAAAGCTGTAGGGGGGTCTGGGGTTATGGTGGTCTGGGGTTATGGGGGTCTAGGGGTATGGTGGTCTGGGGTTATTGGGGTCTAGGGGCATGGTGGTCTGGGGGTATGGTGGTCTGGGGGTCCCGAGGACCGGATTGGGAAGCGCTGCCCTAGAGGAGTTTTTCGTGAATGGACATGGTGAAGCGATCTATCTGTGTTTTAACATATGTCTCTCTAAAATATATACAGTAAAGCAGTATATCATGAACTCCAGTATGACAAGCAGTAAATATTTCAAAGTTCCTCTGCAGGGCACCAATGATAAAGGAAAAAATTGAGCAAATACAGACATAAAATATAGTGTCTTCAAAATCAAAAAGTCAAACCTTTTACATTAGGTGCCAACACTATAAACAAAAAAATTATATATCGAAATATATACTATGAAACAAACGTTTCCCAGGAAAAAGTATAAATCCATTCAGTACAAATTAAAATCAAAGTCCCATCAGTTCCACTTGCAGTGTTATAAAAAGGTGCATCAGAACTTGAGCCATGAAGACATGAATCAACTTCAGTTAATATCTACCTCCCTGTACAATGGTAGCCTATGTGGTTTGATTCTCACCATTCTAACAGCAAGCATGACCTGACTAAATTAGGTCAATACGAGACCTCTCCGGAATATGATATAGTGCCATTTATGAAATGGTGTGATGCATAAGGCTCTTGTTGGATTTCAGCCTTCCAGTTGGAGTCCTTGCTGAGTTCTTCCCGCATTCTAGTCCTGTAGGCTTAGATTGATCCACCATCCGCCTGGAAATCAGGCAGCAGCATGGTGCGATCTCCCAGACACCAGAACTCTGCATCCTCAAATTATAAGGTGTTGTCGTGTTTTCCTGATGGATTCTGCAAAACTTTATGACTCAGAAGATGAAAACATCCTTAATGGCAGGTGGGAAAATGTGGTTCTGAACAATGCCAATCCTCCCAGTCAGGTCAGGTCCAGCTGTTCTGCAACATTCACAAATGTCAACCTCCAGATCTCCTGTGACATTTCCTCTAATATTCTCTTCCAGGTGTTCTGTGTAAATAAGACATTAAATTAAACGAGGAACTAGTCAGAAATCTTTAAAAACAGTGACTTACTAGTATAGTGGTTTGAGTATATAATCATTTAATTCCTTAAATGTGTTTCACATCCTTTGCAGGATTATGTTTGGTTTACACAAGCGCTTTCCAGCAGTAAAATACGCTGCCCAGCCAAAAAAAAAGTTGCCATTTGAATTTATATCAGTAAATACTTAAAAGCCAATGACTGGATCATTATTACAGCTCAGCTACGTTATGCAGCAATAAAGGTGAAGTCAGCTGAGTACCTGAACCTACTGAATGACCAGGTTACACCTCCATCCATCATCAGTTGGTTGTTTTCTTCCCTGTTGGCATGGCCAGGACAAGAATGCCAACATTCATTGGGTTCAAATTGTCAATGAATGGTTCAGGAAATTGAGGAATCATTTTCAGGCGTGACTTGGTCACCACAGAGTTGACTGTAACCTCATTGAAGGTCTTTGGGATGTGCTGAAGGAGGCTTTACGGAGTGGTTCAACTCACTTGTCAATACAGGATCTCAGTGAGAAATGAATGCAAATTGGATGAAAATAAAGGGTGAGACATTGCAGAAGCCTGTGGAAACGATGTCATGACAAATGTGGGCCATAATCAAAGCTAAAGGCGGTCCAACGAAAAATCGAAATGACGACTTTTTTTTTGGCCAGGCAGTGTAGGATATGTTTGTACTGGGAAGAAGATGACTGATGGCCGTTCATAAACTGACATAAAAACAGATATTTACCTGGTGATTTTCTCAGGCTGTACTTGCTGATAAAATTCCATCACTCTTTTTTCACTTAATTACAATGTCCTATGTTATGAGCCGTACCTCTGTACATTGCAGCCGGAACCCATTCAGTCGCTTCCCTCAAGTCTTCACTGTCCCTCACCGCCTCCACTGCTGAACATGTCTGGATCTTGCTGTTGAAACATGTACTGAAATGGAGCAAGAGATTCCAGAACTTATCATGAACTCATCACCTAAGCCAGTGTTTCCCAATCTGGCCATCGGGGATGCAAAAACGTGGACCATCTGTGGATGCCCATGGACTGGACTTGCAAACACTGACCTAAACCATCGTCAAATGTTGACTGCCACTAAGCATTCAACCCTGGACAATTTCATTTTAAAAACTGTCTATAAAATATATTGTTCTGTTAGTAATCCTGCTATTCTGAAATTTAAGTTAAGCTGCAATCTATTTAGACCATGCTGGTGTTTCAAGACACTTAATCACAGTGATGAGAGGAAGGGCTAAATCAGATTAAAGAAATTACTGATTGTTTAGATTGAAAGGCAACTATCATATACATCAGCTTCAAGTACTGCAGACTGCTGTACTGCTTTTATACACCAATCAGGGCAACTACAAAGTACCTAGCCAGTTACTCACGGATTTCAAGTTGGCCTCTACGTCTGTGAAGTTCCATTCACTCAAAGGAAGGTTGGAATTAAATGGCTGTTAGGTAAAATGGGCAGAGTCAGTGCCTAGTCAGTTTACTTTGTGGTGCTTTTTTCTGTTTTCGCAGACAGGAAAACACCATGTTTGGTTTCACTCACGTCCACAGTGCCTGTGGGATCCATGCCCTGCTGATGCGTCCTGAGGAGCAGTTGTAACTCCTCCAAACTCATGTCCATGCTCTCCACGTTGTTCTGGATCTCTGACCTTAAGGGAGCACACAGTTAGTGTTCTCAACCCTCTGAGCATGCAAACCCAGACTGCAATTTGCCTGCTTACACAAACTCAGCCCTTGCCGCAGTATAATTGCAGGGCCTATTTATACCTCTAGAGGGCCTCAGAGACAACTTCTATAACATCATGACATGACTCGTCTAGCATTTTTAACGTTCTGTACAGTGTGTGCTGGCATATTTGGGAGTGTGTATATAAGAGTGTGAGTGCGGTGTGTCAGTATAAGCCCCAGTACCATCTGACCTCTCCAGTTGTCTTCTGCCTCTCTTCTCCCCAACTCCAGGACCATGACCCTCCAGGATGGACTGCACCATGGCAACAGGCAGAACGGGGGGGTCAGCGAATGGGATTCCTTCGCCTCGTGCGTGAACCCCAGGGCTCATTGGCTCCTCCTTGATCAGCATCTGGCATGTCCCCCTGCACTGGCAGAGATCAGCTCATCTGTGGGATCCTATTCCTTTGCATTTGTTCGTCTCACAGAATAAGACACAGTTAATTTTAACTGAGCTTTCAGTGTTAAATTATGGCAAGTTTACATGCTAAGATCAAAGCAGAAACCATGGTGGACCAGATGTTTCTTAGTGTCACTGGAGAACTTAAGGACACTGCACTGAAATTTTCTCCACATTCAGTCTTCTCACCGTAACTGCTCTCCTGGCATATTCATTGCACTGGACTGCGACATCTCAGTAACACCTGATATGAATGGTCCTCCAGCTAGCAAGCCCTGGCCAGAACATTGGCCAGTTTCAGCAGAAGGCTTCAGAAAAGATGCAGTGTTAAAGATGCTGGAAGTTCCAGAGGTTATTTTGCCCTCTGGTTGGTTAGGCTTTCCTTGACTGATGGGATTTGATGGCTCCAACAAAAGAATGAACACATGTCAAATGTTAATGGCAGAGTGTGAGGTGGAGTCCCTTAGAAATCTCAGTATTATCTCCAGGGACAGTGTGAGATACGCTGGCAGGAGAACTTACAGGGTGGATATAGTAGGGCTCTTGTAAAGGCTCCATGAGAAGATTGTGGCCATACTTGGAGACTGGGGGGCTGCTGGGTCCATCATCTAGCATCAAAGGTCTCAGAGGCAAAGAGACGAACCAAAATCATTTCATGGTATACATAGCTATATTCGTAATGTTTCAGAAAACTGACACTTTTTAGCGGAAAATCCTAACTGTGACAAATGTTGAGCTTTATTTTTTTTAATGCTATACTGAGTGACATACTGACAGGTTTTCACTCTGCGGTACCTGTCAAGGGGTAATAAAAGACTTTATTAACTCAGTGCTAAATTTACTGTGACAGTCCAATCCCTGTGCTTTGCCAAGTGGATGACAAGTAAGTAAGGGGGGGGGGGGGGGGGGG